AAGAGTTGTATGAGCCCCCAATAAAATGATTTTTTTTTTTTAAAAGAAAATTATAATGGCAACATATGTATATTAAAAAAGAATGTCTTTGAAGGCAGGGAAAAAAAATGGTTTCCCTCTTATGAAGCTAAAAGAGACCAAAGGGCTCATTGTGGTATTATGTACTCAAGGAACCCTGTCATGCAGGGAGTTAAGCAGTGGGCTGCCAACGGAAAGGCCAGCAGTTCAGACCCTCTTGCCCTTCCTCAGGAGAAACACGAGGCAGTCTGCTTCCCTAAGACACACAGTCTCAGAAGCCTGAAGGAGCAACATACACAGAGGTGCTTGATACAACTGATGAATGGACTGTTATAAGAGCCCCCAATAAAGTGACTTTTAAAAGAAAGACAGCGAGCTAAAGGAGCAGCTCTATTCTGTCCTTCAGGGTCCATCGGGCTTGAAGTCGCTCCAGGGCAGTGGCTTGGGGACTGGAGGATGGAGGAGAAAGCCCCTCTTCCGAGACTCTGTCTATTAGTTTAAGGTCATCCTTTTTCCATTCTCTTTCCTACTCAGGCAAGCCCTTGTGAAAGAAAATAGCCAGGATGCTTTCCTTTTAAAAAACATGCATTATAAGGACAATATATAGATCCTGATAGAATGGGAGAAAAATGTGAACCAGAACCTCAGATTGCTGTCACACACACACACACACACACACACACACACACACACACTCTCTCTCTCTCTCTCTCTCTCTCTCTCTCTCTCTTAATCAGCTGATTGAGATTGAAGGACTCCAAGAGATGATTGCCTTGAGATTCTCTTTAACCTTAAGGTCACCTTGTGGTTTAAAAATATATCAGTGCCATCTAGTTGATCCCAACTCATAGTGCCCCTATAGGACAGGGTTGAACTGCCCCCTCTGAGTTTCTGAGACTATAACTCTTTATGGGAATGGAAAGCCCCATCTTTCTCCCACATAGCAGCTGGTGGTTTCAAACTGCCAACCTTGTGAATTGCAGCTCAATGCATAACCACTATACCACCAGGGTTCCTATGAGGAAAAAGGAGGAGAAATATATATATATATATATATATATATATATATATATATATATATATATATATAGAATATTACCCATAAGTCCTTGTCTCCTTTGAAACACCATCTATGTATATATATGTGTGTGTATGTGTATATATGTATATGTATATATGTATATGTGTATATATATACATATATAATTTCCATATATATGGGTAATATATATGGAATATTACCCATAAGTCCTTGTCTCCTTTGAAACACCATCTATGTAAGACTAAATGCCCGGCAACTGTTTTAAAACAAAGATGAGCTTGTAAAGGCGCAGGGAGACTAGATTAATAGAAATGTAAACACGAGAAGAGAAAAAAGGAGAATATTCACCACGGTAAAAAAATCCAACACCTGTCACTGAACAAAATTGTGTAGAAATTGTTGAATGGGAACCTAATTGTAGGTAAGCCTTGACTGAAAACACAATAAAATATTACAAGATATGTCCATCGAGAGAGAGATTATATACTGAGTACTGTGTCAGTGATGGAGGAGGGAGCTTCAGGTCTATTTTCAAAATGGACTAAAGATCTGAGAAACACACAATGAAATAATGAGCTATAGAAGCCCGTTCCATGAACAGTGATAATACATGTCATTAAAAACCAAACGGATGACCCTCATAGCAAAGCCATTATCTTGTATGTCAATAATAGTCATCGGATGAGAATGCTGGCTATGTTTGTGTGCAGAGAGGAAATGTTACTTCAGTAATTATTTTTAGAAATAAAGGCAACTACACAGACACAGTGTGTATATATACACATACACACCCCTGTGTCATAAACGTAACTGCCAAGTTGCATACTTGGCGACAGACACACAGACCAGGGCTTCTGTCAGGCAGAACATGCCACAAACACCCCCATCACAGGCACACCCTGGATGGCTCTGTTCACCTCTGAACACTCCCCCCGCCCATTCAGTAGCAGCGCAGCTAGGTAGCCACTCACCCTCCCATCGTCATTAGCACATGCCTAGCCCCCACTCCATTACTCACAGCCGGACCCCAGGGTGGGTGGTTTCATACACTCCAGACCTCCGCCCCTGATTTCCATGGCGCTGTGAGCATCTGACATTCCAGTCCTCAATTACAGGTCACTCCCACCACCTCCTCTTCCTCCTCGGCTTCTATTCTTGGCCCAGACAAAGTTGCTCAACGAAGATGCGGAAACCACAGAAAGCTCACCCTTTACAGATCAACAAATTCATGCCAAACAGCTGCCACAGGACGCTGGGGCCGACAGAAAATCTCTCCAGCCCTGTTAGTCCTCTTCTAGAAACCCTGTACCTGCTCTCCCCTCAGCGCCTCAGTCCTAGACCACATGGCCCCGTCAGCAGTGGCTTCAGTCCCTGATCCTCTCAAGAGGTTGTACTCACATGACAAGAAACCAAAACACACTTCCATTGATTGAGTCACTTCCAACTTACAGTGACCCTCTCTATAAAGTTTCCAAGTGGGCCGGGTGTTACAGGAGCAGACAGCCTTTTTCTCCTGAAGAGTGGCTGGTGGATTTGAACTGCCAACCTTGCAGTTAGCTGCCCAATGCCCATCCAACAGTGCCACCAGGGTTCTTGTGTGACTCAAAAACTCTCCCATTTGCCTTCTCTTCCACTCAATTTCATCCCTCCCTTCAGTCTTAGTCTGTTATATTTTCTTTGTGCCAGCCTTTTCCTCCCTTATACCAGTCGCCATTGTTTATTTCCTCCTAGATACATATGGCACTAACAACAAGAGAGTCCTGGGTGGAATTCTCAACCAGAAAAAGGACATTAGGCAAACTTAAAATAGGACCTCTTGATACTTAGTAATATTACCCCACAATAACTTCCTGGGTTTGGTCATTGTACTATGGTTAGATAAAATGCTAATGTTAGGGATAAAGGAATTCAGTCCACTATCTTTGCAACCTTGTTACGTCTGAGACTTTATCTAATTTTTAAAAATTAAGTAAGTAGTGGTGATTGCTTTGCCAGTTTTTATTCATCAAAGGCATATATGTATAACTATTTAAGGAGCCCTGGTGGTGTGGTGGTTTTGCGTTGGGCTACGATTCCGAAAGGTCAGCAGTTCAAAACCATCATCCACTCTGCAGGAGAGAGATGAGGCTTCCTACTCCCTGAAAAAGTTACAGTTTCACTTTATTAGGTGGCACTAGTCCTTGACAAAGAACATCATGCTGGTGAAGGGTCAACCACAAGAACGAAAACAGGAACCCTTCTGCAGTGTAGCAACGATGAAACACACACCTTTCTTCTAGTTCCTAAATGCTTCCTCCCCGCAACTATCATGATCCCAATTCTACCTTACAAATCCGGCTAGACACTGGTACAAATAGGAACTGGAAACACAGGGAGTCCAGGACAGATGAACCCCTCAGAACCAGTGGTGAGAGTGGCGATACCTGAAGGGTGGAGGGAGGGGGCGGTAGAAAGGGGGAACCAATTACAAGGACCTACATATAACCTCCTCCCTGGGGAATGAACAACAGAAAAGTGGGTGAAGGGAGATGTCAGACAATGTAAGACATGACAAAATAATAATAATTTATAAATTATCAAGGGTTCATCGGGAGAGGCGGGGAGAAAATGAGGAGCTGATACTAAGGGCTCAAGTAGAAAGCAAATGTTTTGAGAATGATGTTGGCAACAAATGTACAAGTGTGCTTGACACAATAGATGGATGTATGGATTGTGATAAGAGTTGTACGAGGCCCCAATAAAATGATTTTTTTAAAAGAAAAAGGAAATGGATTGACACAGTGGTGGCCCCAGTGGGCTCAGACGTGGCAGCTGTTGTGAGGCTGTCTCAGAACATGGGTGTGTTAGTGTGGGTACTCTACAGAAACAAATCCATGGAAACTCATGTATAAGAGAGTTTTATATAAAGGTTAACTGCGCATCAAGAAAACATCCCAACCCAGTGCTGCCCAAGCCCACAAGTCCAACATTAACCCATATGTCTGACACCAATCCACAAAGTCCTCCTCCGTCTCACAAAACAGATGCAATGATGCCGACTGCAGGAGGAAAGCTGAGTCAGTGATTGTGTAAACATCGCAGCACTGGCAGGGGTCTCCGCACGGGTGCTCCAGCACCCAGGGCTGCATCAGGGACGTCTTGCAGGGAGCGAGCCTTACCAGCTGAAGTGGGGAACTGGCTAAGGCAGCTGCACCCTGGTCCGACCATCAGAAAGCAAAAGACTCGAGAACTAGAAAGGCGAGACTCACCGAGCCATCTATCTCTCCACCCTTCAATTAACCCCACATGTCTTTATGGGCCAGGTTGGTCAATAAACTAAGTCAATTGGGTTGCTAGAAGTCAAACCAACTATAGACAGCACACAACAACTCTAGAAGCCACAGGCAACGTGGTGTGGTGTGAGACTGACACTGAGTGCCCAAAGACTTCCCCTGACTTTTGTTGCTCCTGACCAAATTCCACAAGCTTTTGCTTTGTTGTTATTTTCACTGTCATGTGAATTAGAGCTTAAATCCTGAGCACTAGGTTCTCAGAAAGCTACAGTTAACATAAAAACCCCAAATCCATTTTGAAGCGGAAAAAAAAAGTTACAGTCTCGGAAACCCACAGGGGCACTTCTACCCTGTCCTATAGGGTCGCTATGAGTTGGCATCAGCTCGATGGCAGGGAATTGAGTTATTAGAGTTTTACTAGTCAAAATGTCACCGTATTGCATTATTGAGTCCATATAAATTCAGCCTAAAGCAACAGAGTTTGACATTTTGGTTAGCCCGTTCCATCTCCTGAAAGGTAAGCGGCTTCATTTCTGGTGCAACACTGACAATGACCCAGAGAGTGCCGTGCCATCTCCGAGGGCCTGTGGGAGCCCACGGCGCGCAGATCTGTAAGTCACTTTCACGGGTCCAGTAGAGTTTTGATCACTGTGTCCTCTTTTCTCAAGGTCAAGTCACAGCTTGAAGAACAGACCAATGAGACTTATGAAGAATTTGAAGCTGTTGAGTATAAAACTCAAGTGGTTGCTGGCGTGAATTACTACGTGAAGGTGAGAGTCGCACATCTGGCTCTGTGATGCTATCGTTCTGATTGTATGCACTGCGTCCCGTTTCCCCTAGCACAGCATTTGTTTCTTCTGGTCATACTTAAATGGCCAGTATGATACCACCCACGGGCAGTTATTGTGTTATTGTTGTTGTTGTTGTTGATTGCTGTTGAGTACGCTCTCCTCATGGCAATCTTACTTCCCAACTGTATCACCAGGCTTTTCTTCCTAGTCCGCGTTGGTCTGAAACCTGTCCACCCTGGGTGACCCTGCTGGTATTTGAAATACCAGTGCTGTAGCTTCCAATCTCACAGCAACAATGAGTTGCTTATCAAATCAATAAATGATCTTTTAAAAGGCGTAGTTAAAGGGCAGCGTAGTTGAAATTATTTTCCCTGGTAATGACTCAAAGTCATTCCTGAAATTCATTTAATTTAGACAAATAGGACCACGAAGGTCTGAGGTGAAATATGATTCAAGATAGGAGCCCTCGTGGGGTTGTGGTTCAGTGGTTAAAGCACTCAGCTGCAGGATGAAGGGTCGGCCCTGGGAGCCCACCAGCCCCTCTGCAGAAGAACGATGTCGTAGTCTCTGTCTCAGAGCTGTGACCTCAGAAACCCTAGGGGGCAACTCTTTGCTGTCCTTTGGGATTGATTTGCATTGGAACTGATAGGACAGGAATGGATTTTTAAGCTTCCAGGTAACATCTGGCTTCACTCCTTGCCTTCAGGTAACTGGGATATCACCTCCCACCTAATAGAGGAGGCAGCCAGGACCTCCAACCAAACATGCCCTGACCTGCGTTGCCATCTTTTGCTGTACAATGTCTGGATATTAAATTAAATCAATAAAAGAAATCTTTCTGAATTTAAAAGAAAGGGGTGGTATAAATATTTGAGAAATGCTCTCAAAGGAGGCCTCCACTACCCATCCATCAACTTGTTGTATTTATTCGCTAAGAGAGATTTGTGGAAATTACATAATCTCTCTTTATCAGTTGGCTCACCTGCAAAATCAGATATGTTCTAAATCCCACTCTGGAGCGTAGCGATTGGAAACGGAAAAGCTTGTGAATAGCCATCTAAGGTGCAACCATCGGTCTCTTCCCACCCAGATGAAAGAACAGTGAGAATACTGAGAGACACATGGAAACAATTAGTCCAATGGACTAATGGGCCAGGCAAACATCACCTAATTGTTTCCAATTGCTACGCGCCAGAGTGGGATTTAGAACATATCTCTGTGGTCTGCTGTATGCCAGTCAACTTCGCTGGTCTCTGAGACGACAGCCCTGCGCTCCGAACCCAGCTCCTCCTTGTTTGGTGACAACGGAAAGGTTTTCAAGACTTTTTTCTCTGAATGCGCTACTATATGTTTGCTAGTAATATCCTTGGTGGCAAATGGTTGCACGTTGCTCTCCAAATTGTTAAGATCAACAGTTCAAAACCACCAGCTGCTCTGTGGGAACAAGACGTGACTTTCTACTCCTATAAACAGTTCCAGTCTTGGAAGCTCACTATGGCAGTTCTATCCTGTCCTATAGGGTCGTGTGATAGTTACATTATCTGGTGTCAATTTGAGGATTCAGAGTTAAGGGGTGGAGTCTAAGCTGCCAATCAAGTCATAGCCAATGAGGCCTCTGTGTGGGCATGACCTTCTCGTAAGGATTCTAGGAACTCCTGAAATTCTTCCTTGGACATGGGAGACATTCTCTCTCTTGGCTTACTCCCTGCGAGACATTGCTGTGGGAAAGACACATGGAGGAGAGGCTGATGGAGCCAGACCTCTGGAGCTGGAGGAGCCATCTGGAGACTGCCAGGAGAAGCCAGCCCCTAGCACATCATTACGGGTGCAGTAGGTGCAATTGTACAGCGATAAGAAGTAAAGATTATAGTAAAGTTATAGAGAGCATGAGAGATAGAAGAGAAATATAGAAATAAATGGAGTCAGACACAATTCACGGTAGCATGCTCACCTCAGCCCTGCCTGGTGGTCCACATGGAGGGAGAGAGATTCTTTAATGCTGACCAAAGCTTTATATTCTCTGGGAACATCCAAGCCCCCTAATTACAGGTAAAAGACATAGGTCACAGGAAGGGGTTGTGCTATAGGTAATACAGTAATGGGAGGGGGTGGTCTAGGGGTATCCATGCAATAGAAAGAGGAGGGATTGGGGGTATACGTGGGGCAAGATGGGTGGATCCAAGATACAGGATGGCAGCCTAACTTTGGATGTCACCGAGCCTGTTTGACATGTTCCCTGGCTCAACTGATAGGGACCATTATCAGTAGGGTGTGAACTCCTCCTATAGGAACCAAGCTAATGGTCACAAGCCTTAGGGAGAAGCAATCCATTGTCTCCAGCAGCAGGGAGCAGACCCTCTGCTGTGGCAGGAAGAGACAGAAGTCCGGCAGAGATCGACTTCAGGGAGAATGCAAGCATCTGACCTCCCCACACAGGAGACCCCTGCCAGCACTGAGATGCTTACAATGCCACTGGATCCACAAGACTTCACACCCACTGGCTTGTGATCTTCCTGCATTTGACATCATTGCATGTGTTTCGTGAGTCTGAAGAGGTCTTTATAGATTGGTATCAGACATATGGGCTAATATCGGACTTATGGACTTGATCTGCACTGGGCTGGGATGTTTGCTCAATATTCAACTGATTTTGTATATAAAGCTCTTTCTTATACACATATGACTGTCTATGGATTTGTTTCTCTAGCCAACCTGGACTAACACAGTCTTTAGGAGTCGGAATCAACTCAATGGCAGTGAGTTTGGTTTGGGTCCCTATGTTAGACCGAGTTGACTAGAGAAAAAAATCCAGAGACATTCATATGTATATAAGAAAGGGCTTTATATTAAAGAGTAATTGTATATTAAGAAAGCATCCCAGTTGATGGACTTTGGGTCTCTGCTCAACCCCTCCCTCAATGCAAAAACACATTGTTCTAACAACCTGGCATTCTGTGATGCTCACCCTCCCAACATGATTGCTGAAGACAAAATGGGTGCACAAGCAAATGTGATGAAGAACACTGATGGAGCCTGACTATCACAAGATATAGCATCTAGAGTCTTAAAAGCTTGAAGTTAAACAAGTGGCCATATAGCAGAGAAGCAACAAGCCCACATGGAAGAAGCACACCAGCTGGCGCAATCATGAGGTGTCAATGGGATCAGGTAACAGGCATCAGAAGACCCGAAACACAACAACAACAAGACATATTGTTGAGAACAAGGGGGGTCGGAGCAGAGATCAATGGACAATGGAACATCCCCTCACAAAAGGGTCACAAGGAACGAATGAGTCAACCAGGATGCAGTATAGCACCGATGAAACACACAATATTCCTCTGGTTCCTTGAGGCTTCCTCACCCCCCACTGTAGTGAACCCAGTCCTGCCTTTCAGTTGTGGCTATACCAGAGCATGTGCACTGGTACAGAAAAGAGCTCATGACACATGGAATCCAGGTCTGATAAATGCCTCAGGAACAAAAATGGGAATAGCAATAGGAGGGTAGGGGGAAGGCGAAGAGAGAAGGGGAGGAAGGGGTAACCAATCACAATGATTGACACAAAACCACACATACCCCCCTAGGGGTAGAAACAATAGAAACTGTGGGGGAAGGGAGAGAGCAGTTGATGTAAGATATGAAAATAATAATAATTTATAATTTATGAAGGGGCTCCTAGGGTGGGAGGGTGGGGAAAGGAGGGACCAAAAGGGCTAAAATAGAAAGTAAATGTTTAGAAAATAATGATGGCAACATATGTATAAATATGCTTGATACAATTTATGTATGGATTATTATAAGAGCTGTAAGAACCCCCATAAAATGATCTTTAAAAAGAAAAGAAAACATCCCAGCCCAGTTCAGATCAAGTCCATAAGTCCATTATTAGCCCATAAGTCCGATACTAGTCTATAAATCACTCCTCAAACTCATGCAGTCACATGCAATGATGCAGAATGCAGGAAGATCACAGGTTGGTGGGTGAAAAGTCTTGTGGATCCAAAGGCAGTGGACGCATCTCCAAGGCTCTGGCTGGCATCAACGTGGCTCCATGTGGCTTGTCAACAGGAAGGTGAAGCAGAGAGAGAGTGTGGCCTGCCTCTCAGAAGAGAGAGAGGACGTTCCCAGAATCCTCATGGAGGGCCACACCCACAAGGAGGCATCATCAGGCTGTGACCTGATTGACAGGTTAGACTCCACCCCTTCACTCTTAAAATTCTCTAGTTGACACAAGGTTATGTAATGGCCTCAGTCCCTAAGAGGTGATCTCGGGGAATAGGCTTATTTGAAGAACATTTCAGTTGGACAGTCTCAAAGAGTCCATAGTCTCTATCTATTGTTCCAATTTGTCTGGTTTGTTTTTTTTAAGAATTTGAATTCTACTCTACTATTTGAGGTAGTTAGTTTATTGTGCCAACCTGGCCAATAAACACATGTGGGGTTAACTGAAAGGTGGAGAGATAAATGGCTCAGTAAGCCTCACCTTTCTAGTTCCTGGGTCTCTTGCTTTCTAATGGTCAGACCAGGGTACAGCTGCCTTAGCCAGTTTCCTGCTTTAGCTTGCAAGGCTTACTTCCTGCCAGACATCCCCAAGGAGAAGCCACATGGACCTACCCTGATGCATCCCTGGGTGCTAGAGCACCTGTGTGTAGAGCCCTGCCAGCGCTGAGATGTTTACACATTCACTGACTCAGCTTTCCTCCTGCAGTCGGCATCATCACATGTATTTTGTGAGATGGAGGAGGACTTTGTGGATTGGTGTTGGACATATGGGTTCATGGGATAATGTTGAACTTGTGGGCTAGGGCATCACTGGGTTGAATGTTTTCTTGATGTATACTTAACCTTTATATAAAACTCTCTCTTATACATGAGTTTCTGTGGATTTGTTTCTCTACAGTACCCAGACTAATACACCATTTGACTATTGATTGTCTTCCCAGCAAGACCCCGTCAGTGGTAGCTGAGCACCATCTAGTTCTTCTGGCCTCAGGGTCCATTAGGTCATGATGCATGGAGACTTGTTTCTTCTCTGAGGCTTTCAGATCTTCTTACTGATTTGCTCGTGATGAGGAGATGCCTGCTGGACCTCAGATGGCCAGTTGCAAGCTTTTAAGACCTCACACACTACTCACATCACTAGGATGTCGATTATGCTGTCTATGAACTAGGTTATGCCAATTTACTGGGTTGTCACATCAGATTACCTCTCTCAATTTTCAAACCCAGAAAAGCAACCTGGGGAGGTGTTTGGCTTTTATCTGAGGGGCATCTGTATCCATGTGTGTTCAGTGACTGCATGTGCTTTCACCAATGTATTTATAGCCCCATGACACTCCCAGGGAACCCTGGCAGCACAGTGCTGAGTGTTCAGATTGGTGGCTCAAACTCACTAGCCAATCTGTGGGAGAAAATGGTGGTTATCAGTGAGGATTCCAGACTGGGAAACCCTATAGGGCAGTTTACTTTGTCTTCAGGGCTACTGTGTGTTGGAATCAGCTGGACCACAATAGGGGTGGGGGGTGAGGGGGGTAGATATTGGTAGAAAGTGGGTTACAAGTAGGGCTGAGTGCCAGGTCAGCAATACACAACCACCAGCCACTCCACAGGAGGAAGATGAGGCTTTCTGCCTCTTAAGATGTACAGCCTTGGGAACTCCAAGGGGTAGTTCTACTCCACCCTATTGGTTTGATATGAGTCAGAAATGATATGAAAGCAGCGAGATTTGACACTTACAGACAGATGCTTCTATCTGGTCTCATCTATGTTGTTTTTTTTCTAATCATTTTATTAGGGGCTCATACAACTCTTACAACAATCCATACATACATCAATTGTGTAAAGCGCATTTGTACATTCATTGCCCTCATTCTCAAAACATTTCCTCTCCACTTAAGCCCCCGACATTAGGTCCTCATTTTCCCCTCCCTCCCCGCTCCCCTCTCCCTCATGAGCCCTTGATAATTTATAAATTATTTTTTTGTCATATCTTGCCCTGTC